ACCACTGCAATAAGGGAATATGACAGCAAAGCAAGTCAAATGAAGTTTTTGGTTTTGTAATGCATATAAGAGTTATGTTTACACTATGATCTATTAAGTGTAAAAAGCATTATGTCTAAAATAACAAGGTCCATATCTTAATTAAAAAATACTCATCAGCTGATCCTTCAGTGAGTCATTATTTTTTTGTTGGTGGAGGGTCCTGCCTTGCTATGACGGCTGCTGACTGATCAAGGTGGTGGTTGCTGAGGGTAGGGGTGACTGGCAATTTCTAAAAATAGAATGGCAGTGAAGTTTGGTGCATCAATTGACTGTTCCTTTCACAAACGGGCTGCTCTCTAGCATTCTGTTAGAAAACATCTTATCCATAGTAGAACTTCTTTCAAAATTATAGTGAATCCTCTCAAAACCTAGTACTGCTTTATAAACTATGTTCATGTAATATTCTAAATTCTCTGATGTCATTTGAACAATCTTCACAGCATCTTCACCAGATATAGTATCTGTCTTGAAAACCTGCAGCTCCAAGTCTGTTACAGCTTCATGGTGAGGCTGCAGCAGTTTAGGCACCTTTTCAAGCTCCTCCTCTAGTTCTAATTCTCTTGCTATTTCCACCACATCTGCAATCACTTTCTCCGGTAAAGTCTTGAACTCCTCAAAATCATTCATCAAAGGTGGGATCAACTTCTAAACTCCTGTTCCTTTTTTGATGACTTTCCATGAGTCAGAAATGTTTTGAATGGCATCTAGAATGGTGAATTCTTTCCAGAATGTTTCAACTGACTTTGCCCAGATATATCAGAGGAATCAATATCCATGATAGCTACAGCCTTATGAAATGTATTCCTTAAAATAACAAGACTTCTAAGTTGAAATTACTCCTTGATTTATGGGATGCAGAATGGATGTTATGCTAGCAGGCATAAAACAGCCTAAGAGTCATTGTCCATTGCCACCTGGGTGACCAGGCGCATTGTCAGTGAGCAGTAAAATTTTGAAAGTAATCTTTTATTGTGTGCAGCAGGTCACAATAGTGGGCTTACCATATTCAGTGAACCATATTGTAAAGAGGTGTGCGATGGTCACCCAGGCTTTGTGGTGCCATTTATAAAGCCCAGGTGGAGTAGAGTTAGCACCATTCTTAAGGGTCCTAAGATTTTTGGAATGGTATTGAAAGTGAGTACTGGCTTCAACTTGAAGCCACCAGCTACATTAGCCCCTAATAAGAAAGTGGACCTGTTCTTTGAAGCTCTGAAGCCAGGCATTGACTTTTCTCTAGCTATGAAAGTCCATTACATGGCTTCTACCAATACAAGGCTATTTCATCTACACTGAAAAGCTGTTGTTCAGTGTGGCCACCTCCATTATCGTAGCTTCATCTTGATAACTTGCTGCAGTTTCTGCATCAGCACTTGTTGCTTCCCCTTGCACGTTCATGTTAGAAATGGCTTCTTTCCTCAAACCTCATGCACCAATAACTGCTAGTTTCAGACTTTATTCTGCAACTTCTTCACCTCTCTCAGCTTTCACAGAATTGAAGAGAGTTAGTGCCTTGCTCTTGATTACACTTGTATTAAGGGAATTTTCGTTAGATTTTCTATCTAGACCACTAAAATTTTATCCATATCAGCAGTAAGGCTGTTTGGCTTTCTTATCTTTCTTGTGTTCACTGGAGTGGCACTTTTAACTTCATTCAAGAACTTTTCGTTTGCATTTCACAACTGGCCAACTGTTTGATATAAGAGGTCTAGCATTGGGCCTGTGTCAGCTTTCAACATGCCTCCTCAATAAACTTAATCATTTCTAGTGTCTGGTTTAAAGTGCAGCTCTTTCTTTCACATGATCGCTTAGAGGCCAGTGTAGGGTTGTTGATCGGCCTAACTTCAATATTGTTGTTTCTCAGGGAACAGAGAGGCCTAAGGAGAGACAGAGAGGTCGGGGGTTGTCTGCTGGTGGAGCAATCAGAGAACACCCAACATTTTTCAATTAATTTTACTGTCTTACATGAGCATAGTTCATGGCACCCAAAAACAACCGCAGGTCACTTATCACTGGTAACCATAGCAAATGCAATAATAGTGGAAAAGTTTAAAATGTTGTAAGAATTATCAAAAGGTGACATAGAGACACTAAGTTAGCCAATGCTACTGAAAAAAACGACACTGATAGTCTTGCACAGGGTTGCCACAAAACCATCAATTTGCAGAAGTGCAATATTACAAGCATAATGAATCAAAGGTCCATAAAATGAGGTGTGCCTGTATGGCTCCAAAAAATTGATTTGTAGGAATATTCTGAAGTAAACAGTGAAGTTATTCACTGTCTTATAGTCCAGTTTTTCCAAGGAAATGTTTCTGAGAGGACTCAACTACATCAAATTGAAGTAAGTGATCCACAGTTTCTGGTTTTCCAATTTTAAATATTTATTCTAGGAGCTGATTCTTCTTACCAACACACCAGAAAGAAGTTTTGCTGTTGTTCAGTTGTGTGTCTCACATATGAAGTATTTTTTTTTTAATTATCATAAAAGCCCTGTTAATGGAAGTAATATCTACATTTTACAGATAATACAAGTTAGCAGATTTGATAATAAAATGCATGTCATCTGATTGCAAAGCCCATGCTTTTATTCCTCTTAGCCCTTAGACCGTACTTCAAAATAAACAAATGAGTATACAAACTATTGTGAGAAAAAGTAATTTTTGTTGAAAAACCCATTAGTTTTTCTGTAATATACCGAGTGAATTTGTATTTGTGACTATTTTCACCTCTTCCCCAAATTGTGTCACATTGTTTTTAAATGTTTTCAACCCAATATTATTTACCTACTAAAAGTCATATGTGTTACTGTTACTAAAGTACTAAGTACAAAGAGAAATCCTACAGAGATATATGTGCCCCAGTGAGCTGTGCCCTTTACTGAACTATATAATTCGTCCTATGAGGTGCAAATGGAAGAGACTGCTTAGAGGGTTCATCTAAAATCTTATGTCATTGGTGCAAAGATTCAAATAAAACTAAAAGGTGTTTCTTTTGCAGCATGTGTTTTTTGTAATTTCCAGTTTCATGCTAACAACCAGCATTTGTTGAATATGACCTATGAGAAACCCAGTGGTTGTCTCCCCAACACACACATTTCTCTCCCAACTGGGCTTTGCTACTTGTCACACCATTCTAGCAATCCTGGGCTGTGGAAACATCATTATATTTTCCTTCAAGGTTTTAAAGTGACTGGTGCAGTACTCCAGTTTGAGTTTACACAATATCTTCTATCCTCTTCTGATGAATATAGAGAAAAAGAAAAGAGGATTTACATGCTGTAGTTATGAATTTTGAGTGGGAGACTGCTAGGTTTGTGTTCACTATGCTTTTGTTATGTAAACTTATAAGCCTTTCTGGGGCTACAGCTTTATGTTTCCAGAATGTATGTGTATCATGCATGTATCTATGCTTATATTTGTATATATACACATGTATGTATACATTTTATCTTTGGGAGCTTCTCTTTATATCTTTTTACTGGTATTTATTATATACTTAATAAAAGAAAAATGAATAAGTGTTCTATTATTTGCAATTTTTCTTTTTCTTATTTTTTTAATGGATTGATCCAGACCTGCATGTACCTCATACAGTTGGGTAGGGTTGTGAAGAGGCAAATCTCATTGAAAATTAAGGATAAAAAATGTACTTTTATACTTTTTCTAGCTTTCTTTATCTTTTGCTTTTTATACTTACAAGTTAAACTGGGGTTGCTTAAATTTAATTATTTTAAATAAAATGAGGAGATACAGAGAGTAGGCTCTGAAAATGAACATTGCAAATGAAGACATGAGTTTTCTGATTGAGGAGATACATGCATACAAGAGTACTCTTTGGTGGAATTACAATGTGTTTACTATGGAAACCAAATAATATATATTTCCAGCTACCTGCAAACAGTGAAGCTATGACAGGAGTGGAAGGAATATAAATGTAATTATTGAGGGGCATTCAACATTATGCATAATGAAAGAAAATTGATGCGTGATTAGCACCCCAGTTGCTTTGCTTTTCTCAAGATCCTTATATTGCTATATATACATTTCAAAAAACATACATATGTATGTGTGTGTGTATGTGTATATATATATATATATATATAAGTGCATGTATTTATGCATGTGTGCGTATGTATAGTAATTTTGTTCTCTTTCCAAGAATGACATTATCTTAAATCTTGCTTTAAAAATGAAAAGATTGCTATTGAAGGTCTCCAGAATTAATCTGCCTACTTATAAGATGTTACCACTGAAGAATGTAAGAAAGTTAGACTTAAGTTATTACAAAAAGAATCAATGGGCAAAAAGAAATTGGGAAATTCCTTAGGAGAGACTGCAAAGTGTTTAAAGTGAGGTATTTTTGGGCATGTAGTAAGGTCTGGAACACTGTATAAACCCCTTGGAAGCACTTGAGCAAGGGCTGGTGAAACTAATTTTTTAAGATGAAAAATCGATGATGGGATTATTTATTTATTTTTTGCAAGGCTCCATTTGAATGGTTGCTGTGTTTAATAACTTACTTATCATAAGTTACAAATGATTATTTGGAAATGGATAGGAACTTGATTTAGAGTCAATAATCAAAGAGCAGAGCTAAACAAACACTTCTCAGCATCCCTGTTTGGGTCTGGTGTTTGCAGTACTGTTTGGTAATAGTTCACAGATGACCTGGAATACCCCTAGTAATGAAGAGTCAGGTCGATGAGGAGGCACGAGGCAAGGAGAAGTAGTAGAAAGTGCCAGTGCCCCAACACTAGTACCAGCCATGAATTTGGAAGTCATTAAAATTATTTGAGTTGATCTTTCTTTTTCTATAAAATAAAGTCAATGGCTGCCTTATCCAAGTTATAGCAACATTGTAAATATTAAATTAAGTATATAGTGGGTTAAATCAAATCTTTTATTTTTATCTTGCTATATATTAGTTTTTAGATTAACTATGTTTTATCTTGTTTGCAGGGTACAAGTTGAATTCTATATGAATGAGAACACATTTAAAGAGAGACTAAAGTTATTTTTTATCAAAAACCAGAGATCAAGTAAGCCATTCATTTTATTCCCCTCTATGTTTGTACATTTGCCTCAAAAAAAAGTTCAGCTGTGTAATCTGGAATATAAAAATATCTTTTATATAGAGGAATAAAATTGACAATCTTGTCTGCCAGACAGTAATAAAACATTTAGAATATAAATGTTACATCTGTTGGCCTTAATGTTTCTTGAATATCTTTCATTCTCTCAAGTCCCACATCAGTAAGTAGACTTCTGAGTGAAACGTCTGGGTCACTGAGAAGCCGGGAACTTGTCTTGAGAAGGCTCTAGGGATTCTGACTGACCCTAGGAGTGATTGATTCAGTGGAAAAAGTTTGATATCTCCCAGGCTTGCCTGGTGACAGGGAACATCTAAGGTGCTCTGAGATGTGCAGATTACCAGCATCCTTCCCTGGAGTTTTTGAATTGGGATGTATTAGGGTAAGATCAGAGTTTAACATCCCAATGATTCTTATTATTAGACAAATTTGGGAAACATTGGACCTTTAAGAAGACATGAAATTCGCATAAACACTGATCTCCTAAGCCCATCAAGGTTGACGTGTAAGTGATACTTGTAGCCCCTCCATGATACCACATATTTTTAAAAACTATATACAATGAGCCAGTATGTAGTTTTTTCATATGATTATTTCTTAGAATATCTACAGGCAATGGAAAGTTCTATGTTAGATCGGTGTAGACTTTGCTTTCTCTGAAGTTTGACCTTTCAATCCTTGGGGTGGTCTAAATAAGTTGTGCCTTTTTTGGGGTTAAAGAGGAAAGCCTGAGGTGTGAGAAGTTAATCAACTACTTAGAGTATATTTCAATATGTAAGGTACAATTCTTAACGGCAGGTTAGCTTCGGAGTTAAGACTAATACCACGTAAAGCCTCTCTTACCTGGTTGGTTGCAATTTCCAAGGAAGCCCCACCAATAGATGTTACCTAAGGGGCCACATCATCTAAATGGAAGTTTTCCTTGATTTTAGTACTATCAGTCCATCTCTCTCAGTGAGGAAAGATAGATGCATCATTTGAATACTTCACCAGCAGCCATTTTTGACTAGCAGTCATCTAAGGAGACCAGTTCTATAAAAACAGGACAATTTCATTAACAGTTTAAAAGACTTTATAAAGAAAATAATCCAAAAAATGTACCCAGCACTTTAATCAGGAAACCTGGGAAAAATTACACAGTTAATGAGTATTAACCTTTCACTGTTATGAAATGTTGTCTCAAGTACACTCACACATAGAAGAGTTAAAAAAAATGCCATTTGATTTCCAGATATTATTAGTAATAATCCTAAGAAGGCCTTTCTCAAAATTTTATTCATAATGCATGAATCAAATATCACCTGATAATTGCAGTAAAAGTAATGATTAATGATATTTTATGTATCTTTTGCTTAATGTTAATTGCTCTTCTTCATCATAAAGTATTATAGGCTTTGTAACTTCAACTAAACAGTTTCAAAGACCCATGCATGTCAGTCTTCCCCACACAATTAAAAAATTTCATTGGTATTTAATCTGAAGTGAAAAGTGAGTGTCAACTGTCTGAACTCAAAAATGTGTGTGTGTGTCTATTTTCCAGCATAGGATATTATTTCTCTATATGATTACTAATTACATGTATAATATATAATTATATATATGATTATAATTTCTAAAGTATCAAATCTACAAGGTGTTCTGAAGGTGCAAGATATATAGTTTATCCTGTGAATTTGTAAGCAGCTGTATTGTCTTGCTAGCTACTAATTATCACAAAACTCATGGATATATAAAAAGCTTAAACTTCTAAACATATTTGAACCAATCTTGATTGGACATGATTTTTGTGGCTTCTGAGTGCTCAAATGTACATTTACTCCCAATGTACAATATTCACTGTCATTTGTAGTTCATTCATTCAAATGCACTTTTTATTTCAGTAATCAGCCAATTAAAATCCACCTACCTTGAACTTCAGAGAGTTTAGAGATTTATGTTGTAGTTTCTAAATACAATTTAAGTGCTGTACTTAAAATTGATTTTTTTGATAAACCATTTTAGTCTTTTCTGAACTAAGCTGAAATGAAAATAAACTTTTTGTCATTTGTTTAAAGGTCTAAGAATACGGCTGTTCAATTTTTCTCTCAAATTATTAAGCTGCTTATTATACATAATCAGAGTGCTACTAGAAAATCCTTCACAAGGAAATGAGTGGTAAGCATCTTTCTTTGACTTCCAACAGTATTCTTTTGGTTACTTTGAATTGTGTCATAGTTTTAAAGGGTATTTTAGGTTTTTGTCACCATTAAGTTGATCTCATTTCCAATTAATATGTGAATATAATTCTTGTTGTAATGTTTTTTTTAAAAAAACATCTCTTCTCTTATTGTTCATCCATTTGTCTAATGCTAATACTGGACATCATCCATAAAAATTTTTATTGCTGATCAAAGTACTCTAAATTATTCTTTAATGGATGTCAGTCTCTTTAAAGATACAAATACCTTTTTGTTTTTGATTTACATATGCTCCAAAAAGGTTTACCTTACTGTTAACAGTTCTGTAATTATTGTCAGGTATAGTCTAAATGTTATTGTTTTTAAAAAAGGTACAGTTAAATGAATTGGTTCTCTTCAGCTTGTTTAGACAGTAAAGATGATTTTAAATTAAAGAGTTTGGATATAAGTTAAAGATTAACAAATTATTTTTTTATTGTGTTATAATTTATGAGATAATTCTTTATAAATAATCTATTTAATGAGATATGGTTATTTTGCTATATCTTTTCTGAATTTTTAACATGTATTCTTATTGCTACAAGTGAAGATACAGCAATGCAAAAGGCCATTCCGACCCGTTTGAAGCCACATATCCTATGCTCTGCTCCCCCCACTCCACCAACCCCCCCCCCCGTGCAGATCTTCAAGCATCCTGCTTCTTCTTTCTCCGGCTTCTTTTTTCAGTCCTGTCCCTCTCTACCCACTGATTTCTAAATGACATCAAGACTCCGGACCTTTCAGATAACAATTTCTTGGATAACACTAAATTTTAAATTCTTACCTGACATCATGGCCCAATTCCAATCTGGGTCAGGAGTGCCTCCTGGGGATTCCCCGTGATCCCCCACATGCTTCAGTCTCAACACTTAACACATTGCCCTTGATTTTACTATTTACTTCTCTTTTCTTCCATACACTTACTGAGGGTAATGACCATGTTGTATTTGCCTCAGCAGATCTTATACTTAGAGTAGGACTTGGTGGGTCAGTGAATGTTGTTGAATTTAAGGAATTGTGCTCAACAGTTTTATTGGTAGTGTTGCATAATTAAGATGATTAAGGACCACTGCCTAGAGTTATCAGTGCATATTATATTTATTATATTTTCTGTCTACATTTCTGTGTTATTAAAAATGGTTCACATTACAAATCCTTCTAAAAAAACATACCAGAATTGTTTTTAAAACTTGGTGATTTGTAAATAAAATGCACATTAGAGAGACCTGAAAAATCATAAAATGAAGCATGATTGAATCCTACTAACGGTGAGTGACAGACAAGGTAAATGATATTATTTGAAAACATTAAGAAGCATAAAGTTTCCTACAATTAACTTCTATGCCATTTTACTATGAATATTCAACCACAACTATACAAGATGTATAGTTGAAAAATAAGATTACTGAAATTTAAAAATGACAAAATAATGCAGGGCTCCATATTGAATTCAATGTCCTGGTTAGTTCCCACTGTCAATGCAGTATTGGTTAATGAAAAACAGAAGTGACCTTTATGGATACAAGTTCTATTTTAAAATGAGGCTGATTCAGCAAAGACATTTATTTAATTAGAGCTTCTGGCATAATTAAGCTGTGATTGTTTGTTCTTCTTTGCTGTAAGTCCTTCAGGAGTCAAAACTGATTTTGAAAAAGTTAACAAGTATAGACAAACAGAAGAATATGAAAATAATTTTATTGTTACTGTATAAAATTGTGCAAATGACAAACTCTGATGTATACTCAGTTTATAGTAATACATTAGGGCGTTATCAAAGGAAACGCATCTCCAGCATGCAGTTCATGAATTTCATTGAGAGATTAGCCATCAGCACTGACTCATTGCCCATTGGTACCTACTATTTTAAACTATGTATCAAAACTCATGCATCATTTTCCACTTTAAAAATTGTAGAAGTGATTATTAGTTTTCAACATCAAGTGATAGAGACAAAGGTAATAAACACATTGATGTGCTTATATTCTATGACGTTTGGTCTTATATTTAAAATCAGTACCTAATATAGCAGTAAATGTGGTCAAGTGGCATTGAAATTTTAAAGACAATTTCTTCTTCAGGGTAACAATTATTAAAATAAGAAACAAAATTTTGACAATATCTTTTAAATGTTTGATCACCAATAGGAATGAATATTGTAATGTAGATCTTTTTTCCCCTTATGTATATTGGTCACAGTAGCACCAAGTGCACTAACACATCATCTCAAAAATTTTAAAGAATTTTTTTTTTTACTAGAGTCTAATGCTTTTGTTCTTACTCAATGTAGACCTTTTCTCCATATGCTGATTTCCCCCCTCACTCACATACACACATGCACACATAACCTAGTAAGTGCAATATTATATATGCAAGTCACTTTCATTTTGTGGTATATGCTGTCCTAAGAACTAAGAATTCTTTTCAGTCAGCTTTTAGAAAGTCAAAGAGAACATGGAGAAGGCACATATAGTTCTTAAAATTATTGGCCACCAAATAACAAGCATGACTTTTACTTGTATTTCAAACTCAGATCTCATGTGAGAATCAGTTGTGTCATCATACCTGGACACAAAGACCAAGAAATGTAGTCTTGGGTTGAGGAGTGGTTTTTTGAACTCAATTCTCTACCATGGAAAGTGGAGAAGGGATAATGATACAAAGCCATTTCTGCCTCAGCCAGTGAATGTATGTATGATGGAAAGACCCTTGGTGTCCTTTCTCTCAAAAATTCAGCAACTAGTCCTCTCTGCAAACCCCTAACAATCGGTTATCTAACATGGTATGAAGTACATCTAGTGTTTTGAAAGGATTTGGTTATGCTTCAGTATCCTGGTCACCTTATTTTGGACACATACTACATTTTGTATGTCCTTGAAATGTGGGCCACACCCAATATACAGCTCTCAGTGTTTGTGATGGTGAGGGGAGTTTTATAATTTTTTTTTTTTTTTAGGATATTATACTTATGTTAGTACAGTACCAGTTGCATTCATTTTTTTTTTTGGAGAGCTATCAGTCTGAACTCATCTTCTGTTTGTGACCCACAGATCCTTTCCTATAAATTATGTCCCACATGTTGACCCTATTACTTTCATTGTGTTTAACAAATGCTTCATTCTTTGGTAAACATATTCATCCCCAGACCTCTGCCTCAGCACCAAAGCTGATCTGACATTTTCTGTGGCTATTTCTTACCTTTAGAAGAGGCCATAAATAAGTGTGCTATGAAAAGTGGCTGAGGCTACATGCCATTAACTTCCTATATTTGGCTTCTGCTGTTATTTCAATTGTTTGAGATGGTTCTTCTAGTTTTTGTAATGATGCTTCGAACATGAATTTTATCTATAGGCCTTATTTAAATTCAGAATAACTGAATGAATGATATAAATTGTTTCTGTGTTTTTTAAAATAATTTTTTTTATAATTAAAAACTGAAATTCATTTTTTTGTGATTTGATATGTGGTTCATGATTATTACAGCATAAATATATATGGCAAGGAAAAGGGAAAAAAAACCCTAAAACCTCAATGTCTAGAATAAGTACATTTAGTGTTTTGATGACCAATTTTTATAAATTCTTTCTCTTTATATACACATATCACATACAACACACACTGATATACTTAGGATAATATTCATTACATCTTTTTATCAATGACTTTTTCTCATTTATTGTAATTTTGCTATTGATGATGATGCTGAGGCTACTTTAATTGTCTTGATGGTTTCTCAGGCAGATTGCTGTTACTTTCTTGCTACAAATAACACTATAGTAAATGCTCTTGTACAGGTTTTCTTTCTTCCTAGGGCTTTTTGTAATGCGAGTGAAGCTTCCTTTTGGCATCACCATCTGGCTGTCAGTTTCAGATGGTTTCTCATTTGTTTCAGAGGTATCTAGGAATATGTAGATCAGATCTCACATTCTTTTTTATGATAAATTCATTTTATGAAGAAAAGTTTGAGTATTATCTTTTCATACATTTATACTTATCCTTCTATGTGTTTATTCAGTTTAGTGCTAAGTAAGTAGGTGGAAAATACGCCTTTCCATTGGAAATCTCACTTACCATTGAAATATATATATATTAGAGTTTTGTAGAAATGTTTTATGGGGATTATAAAGACTATTCCACATGACGTAGTCTTGTTCAATGCAATATTTCCTTCAAAGTCTCATATACATTTAAATACTCTCTGATATTTACTGACCTATCAAAACAGCATTCCAAACCAAAGAAAATGCTAAATGCTGTTAGTTTGATAATTTGCTTTTAGTAAAACCATGTTAATTACCAATTTCTTTTGGAAAATGACCTCAGATTTCTGATTCGCAATTTATAATTTTCCAGAGATTGCTGTCTACTTATTTATTTAGTATTTTTGGTAGCACATTATTTCTATCTATAAAAGCGGCATACATCCCTGTCCACTCTTACATATCTTGTTTTGGTCTATTTTACAAGTGTCACTGAGAACATAAAAATATGTTTTGGAAACGACAGTGCTGATGAGCTCATCAGCCGTATTTTTGCCTTTACCGACACCACCTGTTTGTTTATTTTGAATGCCTAGCCTACTACACACATGTACTTAGAAAGATATTGGCTCTGTAATGGTGAGTAAAATAGACATACTATTACTATTTCATGTTATGGAACTTGCCCATTTATTAAAGAGACAACCATTAAAGAAATACGTTTACAAATAAATATAAAGTTACGTGTAAGATGAGTGGCAGAAGATGCCTGGTGAGTGACGTGACTAAGAGATTAGTTGACTACATTGATCAAGTGGAATCCTCAGAGAAGGTTTCTCTGAGAGGGACGAGCTAAAAAAAAAGAGCTCTAGTCTTTATTTTAACAAAAGTACAGGGCAAACACAGTGGTGCGGTGTGATCTAAAACAATTGTGAATAATCTGTGTGCTGAGTCACTGACATTATTCTGACTATTTATACTGTTGAAATTGTATTGCTGAAATACTAAGTGTTAAAAGTAACAAAATCTTAGAGACTATTAAAGACCGTAAGAGACTTTATGATGGAGAATTGACTAGAAAAGGGATTGAGGTTTCCCTACTCCACCATAATCGGTCTTTAAGTAAGGGCCAATTATTTTTCCTTTCATTATTAACATGAGACCAAAAACAAAATTAAAAAGTGTTTTTCCTGGAATAGAAATAATATTCATTTCTGTGAATATTTCTGTGAATTCTATGAATTTATTTCTATGAATATTTCTATGAATTTCAAAGCTATGAAACATAGCTTTTCTTATTTTAATTTGATATTTAAATATTTCTGCTAGCATTATTTAAATATTTCCAACTTCAATCAAAATTTAAAAATAAGTGCATTACACACATTTAAAAAGCCTAACGTCTTATCATTCTTTTCATAGGTCTCGTATCTTTTGGGTGAACAGAAGTCTACCTTTATGGGGCTTACAGGTTATGTACAATTTTGTTTTATCCCTATATTTCTGGGTGTTATTCATATTTCACAGAGAAATACTGTTAGAAAACTGATGGTATTAAAAATGAGTGTTTTATTGCTTAATTAATCCTGATGCATATCTTAGACTTTTTATTTCTTTCTTCACATTTGCCTAAGCACTGTCTTTTGAGAATTTCCTTGTGATCAAAATTAGACTTTAAAAGCTTTTAAGGGTGTGGGGGAAACCAAAATAAACTAGTGTTTTAAGATGCCACAAGTCCTGCAAAGTACTTTTAGGTATTCCTCTTGTATAATCCTTGAAAAATTAAAAGCCCGTAACCACGTTTGATTTTGTACCTTATATCTTCAGTGTCTAGAACATGGGAGCACCTCAATAAATAATTGTTAAGTCAATCAATAAATGAATGAATGGCTTATATTACAAATAGCAAAACCTTGGTTCCTAAGTAGGTAATTTTGTAAATAAAACAAAAAGTATCCTGGTATAAAAGGAGTCCTGAAGAAAAAGTAAGAAAATAGAAGAACAGCATGTCTGAATTAATATTGTTGAGGTATTCTCTACAGTCCTCTGTATCTTTTCTTTGTCCCTTTTTCTATTAAGTTTCATGCCCAGCAAACTTTTTACAAGTTTCCATCTTCTCTTCCTTTGTCCCTCCTACAGGTACTTTTTATTTTGTTTTTTTGCAATTTAAAAATTGCTCGAAAAATAGCATCACGAACATAAAAAAAAAACTAGAGATTGGAAGACAGTGAGTCTAGAGGAAATTGAAAGACTCTAATACTTACTGTTTATAAACAATCTTTAGATTACTTTAAAATCAAATGTTTGATTTGTCTTTTAAAGTCATGATGATTTGGGGGTCTGTTCATTTTGAATGTGATGATGAATTAATTATGTATGCATTGTGATCTTAACCATGAAATCAAGTTTTTACTGTATCTGCATATTTCATATTTTACTGAAGTCAAGCTCGTATTTTATGTTTTTTCCACTGACTTTCATTGCAATGCCATTAACTTGCAAATATCGTTTTCAAATATTTAAGTCTCCATTAAAAATACAATCTTTTCATCTCTGGCTTGATTCCTATATTATCTTTCAGTGAGGTGCACATTTAAAGTAAAGTTAATATTTTTATGAATAGTTATATATGCCCTTGAATTACGTTTGATCTATTCAAATTGCTCTTATCTAATAGTGATATTTTAAAATAATAAAAATGCTCATTTTCAATTAGGATTTTGCATGATCTATGCTAAAAGTCTTCTAGAGATCACTGAACACTGTCTATCTATAGGAAAAAAGCATGGATGATCATGATTTTGAGGACTTGTGGAGAGAATCTAGGAGGTGTGAGTTTTCTGTCAGAACAGTGTAGGGTCACTGTATGCACTTCTGACTATATTTTACTCACATTGCCATGGATTCCTTTTTAAAAATTGTCCTCGTGTTTTAATATTCACTTAAGTCAAAGTTTTTATTCTGACAAGAGACAAAATTTAAAACTCTGTGGTACCTGCCCTGCCCTCCTCATGCAGATTGTCTTAAATCTCAAAAATCTATAAACAAATATATTTGTTATGAGTCATTTCCTATTTATGCCTGTGCTTTTTATTCTACTCATCTATCATAAAGTGTTAAGAGTATTTAACATGAATAATTTGGATATTTTCTCTAGTTGCTTTTTCTGTTGCAAGTGCAGCTTTTTGTAGTTTGGCAGTGGAAATTGTATATAGAGAACATAGAGGATACAGAAAAAGATGGAAGCTTGTCTTAGAGGATGCAGGGTTAGCACTTCCAGCTATAAAAGTGGAACAGGTTATGCAGTTCATTCAAATAAAATCCGAAAGTATCCTGAAGTCCTGACATGAACAGTTTTGCTTAGTGTTCAAGGATGTTGCTGTTTCATTTTGTTTGAGGTGGGTGGTAGGACGAAACCGATCATTCAGCTGGAAGCTTGTATTCTTTTACTTTCTAAAAGGAACTGCTGTTTCTGGAACATGTACTGAAGATGGTAGTGGTGATGCTGAGAGAAGGCAATTTTTAAGGCAGACAGTTGTGTGTGACTGTGTGTAGTAGAAACACACGCAGAAGAACCTATTCCTTATCGATCATGCAAACTCTATCCAGTCTGACTACTCTAATTGCACATTTACATTTGAAATAATAAACAATAAAAGATTTATTAAGAAGTTTTAGGAAATACAAAAACTAAGCCTAGTGCTGGGGATGGCCTTCAACCTGCCACCTGTATACAGAAGTTAAAGTGCCACATGATACATTCTAAGTCAAATATATTTATATTTTATTTATATATTTATTTATTGTAGTGATATAGTAATGTTTTCCTTGGTGGCTTCAAACATTTCACCAATTCCTATGGGTAAACTTACCCATTATATGCATAAAATATAACTATATATAATAAGCATATGTAAATATATATATATATACACATATATGCACATGTTTATAAAGTTAGTAGTATTATAATCATGAATACATTTTAATTATATTGCATTTTCTCATTAAGGTATAATTTATATTTTAGGTATTAGTGGCATTGATAAGTCTATTTGAAACAATACTGCTTGGTTATCTCAGCTACAAGGTAAGTTACTTTAATTAGAAGTTTTCTGCTGACAGAACACATTTCTAGCATTTACCCAGTATTTCTCTATTTATAGTTCATATTATGAGGATAAAGCTAGTTCTTCTTAAGCCACTTCAAGTATTTTGGGTCTCTAGCATGTGACAAAAAGCTGTGGTGATATAGTAATGTTTTCCTTGGTGGCTTCAAATATTTCACCAATTCCTGTGGATAAACTTACCCATTATATGTATGCTCACCTGAGGCAAGCAAGTGGAGTTGTCTGGCTTTTTATTATTCTCAACCTCTTTTCCTAACCTGTACGAAAAATATTGAGGGAGCAAAAACATGTCTGTTAATAATTTTTTTAATGGATTATCTTAACTTTGGTAAAGCTTTGTTTGGCTAACACAATTTAGCAAATATTCATTGAACTCCTATTTCAGAAAGAGCTCAAGAGCTCCACTCTGTGCTTTTTTTTCTTAATGAGTTTATAGTCCAGAAATGGCAGAAGGCAGGAAAAAGCTATCCAGATAATAATGATAAAAGACAGAATAACAGGCACTTCCAGAGAGGTACAAATGAACTCAAGTGGAACTTGTAGAGAGGTCATCTCATGGGGTGAAAAGAAAATCCTTGACTGATTTAAGCAGAATCTTTGAATCAGTGATTTCACTAAGGAAATGTGAAAAGTCAGGACAATAGGGATTTAAAGAATTTGCGAAGGCATAAGAGAAGGAGTGTGCATATACAATTGAAAGAAAAATAAATATTTAGTTTGGGCAGAATACGGGGAATTTGGGAAAACATTGGTATAAAGAGTGTGGGACAATATTGTAAGAGCCTTGTATAGCAACATATGATGGGTAGTTAACGATGTAACACATGAGAATTCTGTAATTGTAATTAAGTTTTAGGAGTAATAGTTTAGAACATCTGTGCAGCACATGCCAAAGAGATATCACACTAAAGTCCATGTGCTCAGTTAAGGCACAATTGCAGTATGAAAGGAAAATGGAGTGAGTTTTTGGCTGGGTGAAAGGAATATACAGATTTGATGCAAATAAAATATGAAGGTAGAAACTACAGAAATTATCAACTGATTGAGATAGATGATGGAAAGGAAAAGTCAAATATCATCTTAAGATTTTCTACTGGGAATATGGCAGTAAAATTAAGAAAAATTACAACAATAAAAAGTCAGATTGGGGTCAAACTAGATGGAATAATGAAAATGGTTTTGGAAATGATGCATTTGAGGTGTTTGTAGACAAGCAGGTAGATGTGACAGACCCTTGTGAAAATGAGGGTCTGGAACTTGTAGGACAGAGAGATGGATTAAGATATGGTGGTCATTTTCACAGAGATGGTGAAGGAAGTATGCAAGTCCACTAAGTATGGGATAAAAACAAGGAAGACATTAAGGCTCATGTTGAAAGAGATGTTTATATTGTGATTGTTTGAAGATGAAGACAGAGAGATAGACAAGAAGAGTAGGAAGACATAGAAAGGTTTTTATATTTATCACTAATTTTTAGTTTACAGTTTCTGCAAGTACTACATCAGCAAGTGTACTCAAGGTATGTTTTGGGGGAACTCTTATCTAGCATATAAATGTCTTCCTTTTTGAACAATCAAGTTTTAAAGATAGCATTCCTTAGACTGCCTTTTAATCTTAAATTTAGAACAAAGTCTTTATGAACTTTCACCTTTTTCTCTGTCTTTTTTAACTCTCATTAACTCTGTCTGAAGAAAATAATGAGAATATATAATAAAGTGAGATTGATGGATTAGAACATAATAGAAAGAAAAGAATGAGGGCTTTCCAAAATATGTAATTGAGTTGACTTAATAGTTATGAGAAAAAATAGGTTAGAAATGTTTAAGAAAAAGAAGTATTATTTGAAAGCATGTGAATATGACAAGCTTAGTAAGAAGCTTGAGAAAAGCCATGAGTTTACAGTTTATGAGATCATTTGCTATTTACTTATATAAGTCCAATTTCAGAAAGACAAATTCCACATGATTTCACTTATTTGTGGAATCCAAAAACAAATAAAACAAAATGAACAAAATAGCAGTAGACTCATAGACACTGAGAAGTGACTGGTGGTTAACATAGGGAGGGGCTTGGGTGGACGGGTTTGAAAGCTGAGGGGAATAAAAGAGTTAAAAAATCTGAATCATAGCCCAACCAGCCCCGCGGCAGGTCGGGCACCGCCCGAGGAGGCAGGGTGTGCACGGGGGCGCGCCGGGCCGGGGAAGCGCGCTCCGGCCGCGCTCGCTCCGCGCTCCCCGCACTGCCCGCCCTCGTGCGCTCGCCCGCTCCCTCCCCGTCGGCAGCCGCAGCGGCAGAGAAGGCGGCGGCGGCGGCGGCGGCAGCGGCGGCGGGGGCTGGGGAGCAGACATGGCGGCGGACCTGAACCTGGAGTGGATCTGCTCCCTGCCCCGGTCCTGGACTTACGGGATCACCAGGGGCGGCCGCGTCTTCTTCATCAACGAGGAGGCGAAGAGCACCACCTGGCTGCACCCCGTCACTGGCGAGGCCGTGGTCACCGGGCACCGGCGGCAGAGCGCAGATTTGCCAACTGGCTGGGAAGAAGCATATACCTTTGAAGATGCAAGATACTATATAAACCATAATGAGAGGAAAGTGACCTGTAAACATCCAGTCACAGGGCAGCCATCACAGGACAATTGTATTTTTGTAGTGAATGAACAGACTGTTGCAACCATGACATCTGAAGAAAAGAAGGAACGACCGATAAGTATGATAAATGAAGCTTCTAACTATAACATGACTGCAGATTATGCAGTGTATCCAATGAGCCCTGTAGGCAGAACTTCATGGGCTTCAAAAAAAGTCCATAACTTTGGAAAGAGATCAAATTCAAGTAAGAGGAATCCTAATGCACCTGTGGTCAGGTGAGGTTGGCTTTATAAACAGGACAGTACTGGCATGAAGCTCTGGAAGAAATGCTGGTTCGTGCTTTCTGACCTTTGCTCTTTTATTACAGAGATGAGAAAGAAGAAGGTATCCTGGGGAGCATACTGTTACCTAGTTTCCAGATAGCTATGCTTACCTCCGAGGATCACATTAATCGGAAATATGCTTTTAAGGCAGCCCATCCGAACATGTGGACCTATTATTTCTGCACAGATACAGGAAAGGAAATGGAGTTGTGGACGAAAGCCATGTTAGATGCTGCCCTGGTACAGACAGAACCCATGAGAAGAATGGACAAGATTACATCTGAAAATGCACCAAAGAAATAAATAACTTTCCCAACCATAGAGTGCTGATTAAACCAGAGACCAAAAATAACCAGAAAAACAAGGAAATGAGCAAAAATGAAGATAAAAGGGTGTTAGAAGCTGAAAAATACGGATTTCAGAAGGATGGTCAAGATAGACCTTTAACAAAAATTAATACTGTGAAGTGGAATTCTCTGCCATCTGAAAAGGAGAGCGGGTCAACATGCCCGGCTCAGACTGGACACTACAGGCCAGTCAGTGTAAATAGCTCAGAAAACAAAACAGTCAATGTCAGCCTGGCAGATCTTAGAAGTGGAAATCACCCAAATGCAGGGCCCTTACACCCAGAGGCTGATCAGGTCATACAGAGAACAAATTCAATGCAACAGCTGGAGCAGTGGATTAAAATCCAGAAAGGGAGGGGTCACGAAGCAGAACCAGGGGAGTAATCTCTTACCAAACGTTACCAAGAAATATGCCAAGCCACAGAACCCAGATCGTGGCCCACTATCCTGAAGGTTACAGAACACTACTAAGAAGCAGTAAGACCAGGCCTGAAAGCATCTGCAGTGGAGCCCCTTCCACTCACGACAAAACAGTAGGGCCCAGAGCAGAAGAGAAGCGGAGATCAGTGAGAGATGACACGATGTGGCAGCTCTACGAGTGGCAGCAGTGTCAATTTTGTAATAAGCAGAGCACCCTCCCTCGTCATGGTACTTTGACCAGCCCTAAAACCATGGTTAATATTTCTGACCAGACAATGCACTCTATTCCCACATCACCTTCCCATGGGTCAATAGCTGCTTATCAGGGATACTCCCCTCAGTGAACCTACAGATCAGAAGTGTCTTCACTGATTCAGAGAGGAGATGTACCGATAGACTGCAGGCACAGGACCCATCACCCTAAGCATGTCTATGTGCCTGACAGGAGGTCAATGCCAGCTGGCCTGACTTTACAGTCTATTAGTCCCCAGAGCCTCCAAAGCAAAACTCTGTCACAAGATGAATGTAGAGGTACATTACACAAATACAGACCTGAAGAAGTAGATATTGATGCCAAGTTAAGCCGAATATGTGAACAAGATAAAGTGGTACATGCTCTGGAAGAGAAACTTCAGCAACTCCACAAGGAGAAGTACATGCTTGAGCAAGCTTTGCTTTCAGCCAGCCAGGAGATAGAAATGAATGCAGATAACCCAGCAGCCATTCAGACCGTGGTGTTGCAGAAGGATGATTTACAGAACAGACTGCTTAGTACATGCAGGGAACTCTCTCGAGCCACTGCTGAACTGGAACGAGCATGGAGAGACTATGACAAGTTAGAATACGATGTAACTGTTACCAGGAATCAGATGCAAGAGCAGCTAGATTGCCTTGGTGAAGTTCAGACTGAATCAGCAGGAATCCAGCGTGCACAGATTCAGAAAGAACTCTGGAGAATTCAGGATGTCATGGAAGGGCTGAGTAAACATAAACGGCAAAGAGGCATTACAGAAACAGGTATGGCAGGATCAAAACCTTTCTCAACAGTTAAGTACAAAAATGAGGGTCCACATTATAGACTGTACAAGAGTGAACCAGAATTAACAACAGTGGCAGAAGTTGATGAATCTAATGGAGAAGAAAAATCAGAACCTGTTTCAGAAATGGAAACTTCAGTTAAAGGTTCCCACTTCCCTGTTGGAGCCGTCCCTCCATGGACCAAATCGCCAACACCTGAGTCTGCGACAATAGCCTCATATGTAACCTTGAGGAAAACTAAGAAGATGATGGATTCAAGAACGGAAAGACCGAGAAGTGCAGTGGAACAGCTCTGTCTGGCTGAGAGTACTAGACCAAGGATGACTGTGGAGGAACAAATGGAAAGAATAAGGAGACATCAACAAGCATGCTTATGGGAAAAGAAAAAAGGACTAAATATTATTGGTGCTTTAGACCAGTCACCCTTACAGAGTCCTTCAAATTTAAGGGATAATCCATTCAGGGTCACCTAGACTCGAAGGAGGGATGATACCATTAAGGAACTGGACACTATCATTAGAGAAAATGAAGTAAAACCAAACCGTGAAACCCCTGCAGCAGAAATTGGTTGACTAAAAGAAGCTGAACCTCAGAACTCGGATTACAGCAAAGAGTGCACAAAAGAAAATGAAAACATTTTTCATAAAACACTTTCCATACCTGAACCAAATGGAATAAACTCTAAGGAAGTGATGGATAAGGAAAGAAACACAGAGGACACGCCTGAGGAGATTTCAAACAGCACCCAAGAAGAGGCACAGATCACAAATCATAAAGCAGAAGACGACCCTGAAGAAAATACAAAGGATGATATTCATGTGCAAGAAGAAACGGTTATTTCTTATGAACTAACTCCTAAGGCTTCTAGAGAAAATCAAACAATGGCAGTGAAAAGTCTGTCCCCATCTCCTGAGTCCTTGTCCTCTCCAGTACTATCCGTTCAGCCACAGCTCACGGAAGGATCCCATTTCATGTGTGTGTAGTCTCAAAAAATCTCTACTGACTTGTGTAGAAACCATTCAAAGCTAAGGACATGGACCTTTGGCAATGTGAGAAGATATTGTATAGTATATTTTAAATCTATGAAATTCATAGTTCTGATGCTTTTGGCCACAGAGCATCATTTTAGCACTTCTGGAAAATGTTTATTCCAAAACAGCTTTAATAGCCCATATGTACACTCCATAATCTCAAGGTTATTATTCTGACACCAGCTTCCTGCTATGATTTCAGAGCACATAAGTAAAGGTGCTTTTTAATGTGCAGTCTACAGCCAGAGCTTACTTAGTTTGCTGATTTCCAGATTTTGATATTTCTAAAGTCTAGGTGGATTTACATTTCTTTCTGCTTCCCAGTATATAAATTTAGTTAATATTTCCAATGAGCTTGTTTTCTTTCTTTTTTCTTCTGTCCATTTGGCTACTGCGATGCTATATATATATTTAAAATGTGCCATTTTATTATTGCTAAGTGAAGTCTGTCCTGTTTCCTGCTATAATTATTTCTCAAGATTGCAACATCAGCAGTACTGCTACGCTCTCGTCAGCTTCAACACAAATGTCAACGCTTACTTTTTCTTAAAAAAATAAAAGTTTAAAATGTAGGTATTTTGAAGTACTGGGCTCATACTTCACTGGAATAGATGTGTACAGCAATAAGCAGGTTTTCAAATCCAGTACTTAGTTTGTGTACAAATGTAATTATGTTAATTGTGTATATATTATACAATGAGCACATGTAATGTAAGTATTAAAGGCCACTTACTATTGTTTAAATGCAAATGTCCATATCCCATTTCTTTTTTATCATGTTAAATAAATGTTGACGTTCTTAAAAAAACCTGAATCATAATATGTTAGTCATGGGGATGGAGAATACAGCCAATGGTTCTGTAACATCTTTCTATGTTGACAGTAACTTCTCTAGTTGGGATGTGGGTTTAATAATGTGAGTAACTGTTGAACCACTGTGTTGTATATTTGAAACCAGTATGATATTGTGTATCAAGTATACTTCAGTAAAAAAAATAAAAACTCTAAAAAAAGAGTAATATTCCAAAATAGCATTTTTAAATAAATGTCTAATTTCATTAGAGTATGCTTAAGAGTAAAAGTGTTAAATGAAGAATGTCGATTGACTAGGGCAGGAGCTCACTAAAAGTAGCAGAATGAGAAAGGGGAGATTGCCTAACGATGGAAAAAAAATCTGCATTTTGTAAAGAAGGTAGGTGGAAAGGACAAGAAAAAATGGTGGGTGAAAAACAAGGTTTATAAAAAGTAAACATAAGCTGGGATAGCAACCTCAGGTCAACTGATTAGCTTTGGATAGATTCCATTCTTTTCTGAAAGCACAGAAAATGGAAAATGGTGCATGAAAGAATATTTTGAAGTAAAAGGAAAGCTGAGAGAACTCACACAGCTCATCACTGATCCCTAAACTGTCTTGAAAGTACCCGCTCAGTGATGAGCCATGTAGACTGACATGTCGAGGGATGTCTCTTAATGATTTATTAGTGTATCTCCTTCATGCACCAATTGACATCTGGATTTTGGACACCTAGAACAAAATAAAAATCAAGTAAATTAATATCCAAGATTCTATCTTCTAAGTTATTTAGTGTTCAGGTATGTGATGAATGTTGAATGTGAAATACACAGTGACATACTAAAAACTTAGGCTTATGGTTGTTTTTGTTTTGTTGTACATATACACTGGACAAGATAATCTACATTTGTGAATGTATTTGCTCCAAATTCTAGCTGAAAAACAAATTAAAATAACTTTGGTACTTAATAGAACACTTAGCTCTAGTTTAAGAAGTCATTTAAAAGACACAGATTCAAGATTATTTTCCATTATAATCATATGATGATGACCTTTGTAATTAATTACTTTCTGTCATTCATAAAACAAGAGCGAAATAATATGATATTTAGTAGGCAGAGCTAGAGGATATGTAATATTTTTATTCTGAGCTTCATAAACATTAATAATGGCTTAGGTGAAAGAGAGATAGACAGTAGTTGAGTCCTGTGTGTTACAAAGGAAACAAAGGCTAAAAAGGGGTTATATGACATTGGAAGGATAGGTTGCTGTTACCTTCTTTTTCCTCTCATAAATTCAGTTAATCTTATGAACCAGTTTGACCTCTTCAATGGACTGTTGGATCCATTTTTTTCGAATGAAAAAATTGAGTAATTCATTACTAGTTATAGCCTACAAATAAGGCAAATTTGGGTATCAGAACTTCAAATGAGCTCCTCCTCTCAAGTTAGATTTTTAAGAAAAATTATAGACAGGTATGCAGAAATGGATATTGTATTAGCAACTGCATCCAAACCTAATATTGTTCTTTGATACTTTAGTTCTGAAATATCAAATAGCAAATCAATATATACTTTGCTATTTGTTTACATATGCATATATACAGATAATTTATACATTTTATATACAAAATATATGTGTGCAATATTTAAAAATAAATTCATTAAAGTGTTCTATAAGCACTTTACAGTTTTTGAAAATAAACATTCTAAAATAAGCATGACTTAATCCTTAACTATTAAAACAATTTAACTGTCATGGAGACGGTAGTTTTTGAAAAATAGACTGGTGAGTAAAAGCAAAATAATCAAAATCTCTTTAAAGTATATGTTGAGTAGAGCAGATAATGATTTAAAAATTCCTTACATCAACTTATTTTATCTTCTCTCACACAGAAGTTCAGGTCTCTACTTATATCATCATTCCATTCGTGTTTATAGCTTCTTGGCAAAACAGACATGGGAATCTCTCAACAGTTAAGTTCTTACTCTTCTGACAACATAAATATGCTCTACATCTTCATCAACTGCTTTCAAAACAGAACTCGATTTATGCACACACATCCATTAAATCAAACCTCAGCTAATTTCCAAACCTCTATAAACAAAATTGCAACATACCTAAATCTACAGTTCTTTATTCTACAATTACTTTATAAAAGGCAACAATTTTGAAATTTTAACACCACAGTGGGATATTTCTGAAATGGAACAAAGGATTTGAACTAGGACCCCTGAACACTCCTGGAGACTGGTGATTCTGCTTGCCCTGACTGAATCCAGATGTTGTTGAGTTTACATTAAGGAATACAAAATTAAGACTGCATTAACATTACTACATTGTTTTAAATTAATTGAAAAAAGATAAATTGCCAGCCTTTTTTGTTAAATATTTTCAGTATTAAAGAATAAAGTGTTTTTAAAAAGCCTCTTGATCCATCCTGGGCTTATGACAGCTGAATAACTGTAAGTTTTTGTAATTTTTATTAGCACCATGCTCTAACCAACTGAGCTAACCGGCCACCTAGTTGTTGTAATTTTTTAAGTGCTTTCCAGAGTTACCTCAATAATGTTCCAAATTTCTGATTTATTTTATGATAAAAATAAAAGCCTGGTTCATTTTAGAATATTGTCTACTTTCCTTTATATTTATTGATAAAGGAAAGTGATGTTCAGATCAAATGTTGTAGAATGGTTGGACTCAGGTATATTTATATTTTACTGAATTCTGTGAGTAAAAAAGGAACACAAAGATTTCTACACAGTTCAAACAGGTAGAGCTGCCTCTTAAATTTTTTTCTTCAAGAAGTTACCTTTTTTGAAGAAGTTTAATACCTCTTTTCTCCTTTATGAAAATAAGATTTGATGAAATAAGTATATGATGTAATTCTGAAAGTTTTCTTGTTATGAAAGTTTTCATAATTCTGCCTTTTGGATTTTATATCATTCTTCTCTGCATAGTGTCATTCTATGGATGCATGCTTTCTTTTATCATTATAATTGCTTTCATTGTGTGGATTTATATGTGGCCCATTGCAACTCCCTAACAGGCAATGAAACACAAATACTTTATGTACTTATTTTTCATTAGCTAATTTTAGGGAAGATAATTTATAAATATATCTGTAAGTTCAGAAGACAACCTGAAATCTTAGAATTAAACCTAATGACTGTAACTGAAAAGATAATTATTTATTTTTAGCAATGAGCACATTGCCTCATTGTATAATTTTAGATCATGAAAATTAGTCCTCAGTGGGAAGTTCATTCATTTGCCACAACACACACACACACTTTCCTGCTGTGAATCAACAAGTAGCATATTTGACATAATGTAGTTACAAATTTTTTTAGGAACATCACACTGTCAAGTACTATAGAAGCAACAGAGCATAGAAACCTTAACTAAACTGGTGCTCATCTGGACTTTATGGAATTTAAGATTAAGTGTTGTATTAATTATATAAATACAAACTGGAAAAAGTAATGTGAAGGACATTGATGGAGAATGAAAAAACTAGTGTGGGAGTCTAATCTCATCTAGAATGTGTGTGATAAGGGGGTGAGGAAAGTCTTAGAAAACTCAAAACATTTTGGGTTGAGTGCTGAAAGATGTGGGTGAGCTAACTAGACAAAGTAAAACTGGAAAGGAAGGTAAACATAGAACCTTCTTGAAAATCACATGCAAAGGCCCTGGCATCTTTTTAGGACTGAATGGTCTTTGGAAAGAATGAAGGTAAGAGTGGAAAGGTCCATAAAAGCCAAATGATATAGTGCCTTGTGGGTTGTAATAGAATTTTTGTCTGCTCTGAAAGTGTCTGAATAGTTGAAGAGTTTCAAAAAGTGAGTGATTTGGGGGTGTATGAGGGTTCAGGGGATTGGCACATCACATTAAATTTTCCTTTAGAAAAACAGATAAAGAGATGTGAACTTCAAATTATAAAATAAATTAGTCATAGGAATGGAAGTACAGCATAGAGAATATAACCAGTAATATTGTCACATCTTGTATATTACAGAGGTTAACTACACTTACCATGGTGAGCATTTAGTAATGCATATAATTATCAAATCACTATGTTGTACATCTGAAGCCAGTATAATATTGTATATCAACTATATTCCAAAAAAAAGAGAATAATCCTGATAGTAGGTGAACTGAAATGGTGTAAGATCACTTAGGAGGTCAAGGAGATCAGAGGGTGGGAATTGAGTTAGAATAAATATTGTCTAGAAATAGACCATTGGAAGTCATTGGATTGTTATGGATAATAAGTTAAATTACCTAAAATGAGTGTACAGTCAAGTACTCTTGAAATACTTTCCTTCAGAAATTTCTGTTGAGCTCTGTGGTTACAAGTTTAACAACTTATATATATAACTATATTTAGGAAGACTTTAAATAATAAAATTCTTTCAAGTTTACATTCGGATACAGTAGAAAGAAATATAAATACTTCAGTTCAAAAACTGAAACAGTTATACCAATAAAGGGAAGAATATATATAAAGTATTTGGGATTTTCATTTATTTGCTAACATGTTTATTGAGCCCTAACTGGAATATATATAAGTGAGGTCTACAAAATGTTACAAACATCAGTCAAGGATATTAGTGGTGAAGGCATGGGGAGTGGGGCATTCCGGGCAGGAAGAGAAGTGTGAGCAAAGTTTTAAAAGTATGAAATAGCCTTTCTTGTTCAGGGAACCGTATTAAATTCATTGTGGATGAATCTGTATTGTAGATATAAAGCAAACTGATAGCCAGAATCATTATTATGAAGTTTCACATAATACAATGAGGAGTTTGAATGTTATTATGTTGGCACTGGAAATTCAGCACTTTAAAAAGAATCCTCTGGCTTTAATATGGAAGATAAATAAAAAATGAGCTCAACCAAGTCAAATGAAACTCTTTTAGTGGTTTGAGCAAAAAATAAAAATCAAATTAAAGTATTATAAATGGAAATGAAGAGAACAGAGCCATCAGAGATACGAAAGGTTTTTGTTTTACTATGAATTTGTCCAAACAGTGTCTCAAAGCTAAGAAAACTAATATTAATTGTGTATATTTCTAGAAATATCTTGACATATCATCAGTGGTCACAGCTTCCACACCCTTCCTTTTCCTGCTGGTCACATCAAGTGCTTTTCTCTTGAACAATCATTGACACCAAGATATATAATGACAAGTAGAAGTAGAGCAAGGAAAAAATAAGCCAAATGTTAAGCATTCTGGAAACCGAGTCACCTGAAAACTGATGAAAGAAATGGTACTGTTAACCTGCATAATAATAAAAAAAAAAACCTTGGCATAATTAAAATAAGTTATAACTGGTTTGTTTAACAGGCTTGACTTTGGGCAAGTAAGAAGGGGCTTAAGTCTTCCTACACTTCCTTTCAAATTCACGAATCCTTTTGATCCATGCTGATCAGATGAAATCTCTGGCATGTCCTTTAACTTTTCTAGTATCTGCAATTGCAAGGCAAATTTCAGTTTAGTATTTAAGAAACTATGACCAATATATGTAACCATTTAAAACTCCCATCCACTTTAAGGCTTCAGCTAGTCCCCAGCTCAGACCTGCATGAGGCAGGGAATCACTGTGGGGCTTGCTCGATTTCCATCATCTCTCCTACTTGATGCCAGGGGACCTGGGCCCTTCCAGGGCTGAGGAGGTGCTGAGAGTAAAGTCGGCATCTGGGGCAAGGTTACCTGACAGGCCCAAGTATAGCACTCTCACATCTCCACACAGAGGCGCTCTCCCTGCTTCCATGTCCCCTGCCTACTCGCCCCTACCTCATTTTATATAGCCTTAAAATGGATAATAATAAACAAATGATAACAAAAGCTATGATTTAATATTTTAGCACATAGACTATAGCCAGTCTGGAACCTTGCTTTGTGATGCCGAGGTATTGTAAAAAGAATGTTTTAAGCCTTTGGGACCTTAAGGGAAATTAAGAAAGACTCCCAATTTTATAGCTAGTGTTATAACTACAAGGGGCCAGATTTTAAATTGCCCTTCTAATACATAGGTCTCTTCCTAGAAGTTCTGAGTTCTTTTTCATTGGATGCCATTCAAGAAAGTTCCAGTGATAACTTAGTAATGTTAGGGTCGGCTTCATGGGTGTGTGATCTGTGGGCTTACACAGAGCTAAATAATTAGAAGGGTATGTGCTTGTTTTAATGTTCTGATATAACCATCTTGTTAACAATTTGTTTATTAGGTTCCGCATTTTCATTTTGCACTGGGCCCTGCAAATTATGTAGCCAGACCTGATATTGTGGTACTATGTGGGTGGGAGCTTGAATCTAGATGATTGAAAAATCCCTTCTTTTAAGTTTTATTAATACAATAATACAATGACAATTGTTAACAAGTATGTGTCCTTTACAAACTATTTCATAAGCTATACAGTTTATGAATATAATTATTATACTCTTTTTTCACTGATTCTGTATGTTTTTAAATGTGTTTTATTTTTACTAGTAACTTTTCTTCCATGAAATGTATGATCAAAATGTGTATGTGAAATATTCAAAGATGGCTGTAAACATTTATTTTATATCATAAGCTTTTATGAAATCAAGAGAGCAGAATTACATTTAGAAAAGAATCTCTGAAAGCCATTGTTACATTTTTAAATGATTTGGTGTTCTGTTAATGTAAGCATCCTTAATTGCTAGAGAAATTTTGAGTGATGATTTTTTTCCCCCTTTAATGGGATTTAGTATAATTGACTTTAATTTTCATTCATTCTTTCTTGGAAGGGAAACATCTGGGAACAGATTTTACGAATACCCTTCATCCTGGAAATAATTAATGCGGTTCCCTTCATTATTTCAGTAAGTCCTTAAAGAATCTTTAAAATAAATAATTTTGTCATTACACTTAGGTAAAATCTTTAAATACTACTAAATAGTGCATTAGCTCAGATAAATGGATTTAGGCTTTGGTTAGAATCATAGTGTTAAAAAATAAATAGTCAAATCAGTTGGAAAATTAGATTGTGAATTTAAATGAAAACTAGTGAGATTTAGCACAATAAAACAAAATGCTTTTTAGAAGCATATACTCTAGAGGTGTCATTTGAAAAAGTGTCAATATTGTCTAAACAATATTAACTATAAATTAATCGTTCCATTTCTTGTTTATGTTGTGGAATTAGAAATAAATAGAAATCAAGTTGAACCAACTGTTTATAAATATACTGTGAATACACTTATCTCTTATCTCTAGTTTAACCACAGGTTTTACTAAGTTCAGTTCTCTCTTTAATAAGAAAAATGCCAACATACAGACAACCAACAATTTACTTCTTTATAAAAATACTGTGGAGGAGCATTTCTCTACTTGCTAAATGGGATGCTGCCCAATTCATGAATTGCTTAATAAAAACAGGTCTTAAAAAAACAAATAAAATATGAAAGTACTGTGGAGTACTAAATCCATGATGATTCTGTTTAATTACAGTCTCATAAGTATATAACCCTTGCAAAATTAGGTTTTAATCTCTATTTGATTAGTTATACTAATGTCTATTGGAATATACTTTTTAATACTTTGATTTTTATTTGGAAAATTATGAAAATAAGTAGATATTATCTGAAGCTGTTGCTTACTCCTGACAATTATTTTAATTTGAGTGATTTATGTAGAGGAGCAACTAGAACTAGTTTAAATGGAAGGCTAACTAAATATAATTACGATTGAACATGGTTCCCCAATGTCACTTAAAATGTGCAAATCTGAGGAGAGTGTAAGTCCCAGTTGTTATAAAAAGGTAGTCTTCTCTCCTTTCTACTTTTCACATCACATTTCAGGGAAGGGAGAGGCAATGTCTATTATAAACTGACACACTAAAAGATCTAGTGGTATAATTAGCATAGTTATAACTGGCATTCAGTGAGAGCTTATCTTCATTCTGCTTCTATAATAACTTCCCAAAGAATTTTCCCTAAGTAAGACTTAGACAATCAATGAAAAGATCATATCTGCTCCTTGCATTTCATTACTATTATGAGTTTAAAGTATTTGTCACGTTTTAAATCATTATATTGTCTTTAATAACTTTTTCTGTTTTACATTTATTTTCAATTTGCTGCATATGATTTCTTGCTTTGAGATAATAGTTTACTTTTGGTTTGTTTTTTCAGATATTCTGGCCTTCCTTAAGGAATCTATTTGTCCCTGTCTTTCTAAACTGTTGGCTTGCCAAACATGCCTTGGAAAATATGATTGTAAGTATAAAAGTGAAGTGCAAATAGAAAACTATTTTTCAACCCTCCATTATTCCTTACTTTCACACTCAGATTAAATGAAGAGAGAAGATGATTTCAGGTCTTAGATTACTTTCTCATTCTGCTTTTTCCCTTAATATATAAACTCATACTATGATTTAGGTATAATTAAATTTCTAAATGTTTCATTTTAAAACCTCTTTTAAATTAATTTGGAATCTTAGCAGGCAGTTTTTAAATGTTTACAGAAATGAATGAGTGTTGATAAAATACTGTCAGATAATTAAAATGATATGTTGCATAAATGTCTAAGCTAATAGATGTTAAGTCTGCTTGTATTTTAATTAGAATGAATATTTGTAAAGTACCCATATTGCCAAGTCACTACTTAAGTAAGACCCTATGAACTGGTAAACAAAAATGGTTCAGATTTTCTAAGTATCACTGAACTGAAGCTGGCTGCTATTTAGAGTCATCCAACTAATAATCAGCCAGTCTTCTGAAAACAATGACCTTCCCTTCCAAGGCATTCTGTTGAGATATAATGGGGCCTTTGATTTTAAAGATTCAGGAGGTAATGTTGTTCTTAATAGTAGGTAACTCCATTACATAAGAATCTGTGGGGTTTTGGAAGACCCTATATTATAGCTGGAATTCCCTCACTTAAAGTCATCTCTTCAGATTTGGTTGGGATGGGTTGTATATTATAAATATACATAGATGCTAGTGTGTGTGTGTGTATAAAATGTATCTAGTGTAAATGTAGTAATGATTCAATATTATTGATTTTACTGCATTGAAGTTAAATTCATTTTGAGGCAAACTTTTTTTTTAATGTTTTTTTTTTTAACAGAAATTAAGACAAGAGTTACTGCCAAAAGGAATATTTGGTTAACATTTGAGTATCCACAACCAGATGAATGTTTCTAAGTATTTACATTAAGTATCCACTGGAGTCCCATGAAAGTACATAGTCAAATGATGGGAGAGTGTGGCTCATGGCGTGGTCTGCAGAAACACGGGCTATCTTAGCTCTCAAAACAACAACAACAACAAAAACATTTCACTAAATATAGATTTCTTAAATTACTAATGAAAAAGAAATAGACTAGGAAAAAATAAACTTCTTTCCTAACTTGTGTTATTAGTTACTGGAAAAATAACCTAATCAGGAAAGGAATCAGTCAGTCAATGAGAGTAAAAGTAGTGTTTTGCGATATTAATTGAAGATTTATTTTCCTTTGCATTTCTATATTTTGCTTCTCCTCCACTCACTGGTTGTTAATTTTTAATTTACTTTTCCACTCATTAACCCCTCGGCAGAAGAAAGTAAGGGATGAGAGGTGAAATTCTAATCAACTTAGTTTTTTCATAATAGTTCTGTTTAAATGTGTGGTAGAGGAAGATAAAATAATGGCTCATTGAGATTTTATATTGGTGAAGTTATTTACCTCATGTATACTGATTTTAAGACTATGAAAGTTTATTATGAAAACTTGAGATGAACAGAAAATTACAAAGTAAAAAATTATGAAAACCTCAAATCTACCAAATGAACTATACAGCAGTAATAATTTATATCCTTCTAATATTTTCTATGAAAATACAAACACATAGAGGAAATAATATTTTGTGTTTTATAATTTGAATTTTTTGACATGTATATGTAGTGGACAAGTTCCTGTGTCATTAAATAGTCCTCTTCAAATCATTTTTAATGGATGTGTCTTAATCTATCACATAGTTTTTATTAATTTATTCAATCATTTTGTATTGCATATTTTAGTAATTTTAATAGTAATGAACACTCATTTCATGTATTATAATTCTGTAATAAAGAACATACATAAATATAGATTTCCATTTCTGATGATTTTCATGCATGTGACTAATTTTTAGAAATTATGTTAATGATAAATACTCATTAAATGAATACATAAAATAGGACATACTTGCGAATTTTGACCTATATTACCAAAGTACCTTCAATAAATTTATAGCAAATTACATGAGCAATATCATGTGAGTGCTCATTTTTCACATCTTAACATAGGATATTATTATTTTTTAATGTATTTCAACTGAAAAGCATATGTTGAATTCATAATTTTCTTAATTTTAATGAAATTAAACTTAAAAAATTTGTTTTTTGGCTGTTTACTTTTGTCTTTTATGATACATTGCCTGACGTATTTTATGTTCTTTTTCTTGATTCAGAGAATGAGGTATGATTACAGTTTGATCCAGCTATTACTTCCCTCAATTGAATATATTATTTTCTGATTTTTTTAAATTAGAATTTTCTTTAAAAATCACACATACTATGGGCAGCTTTTGGGGGGTCTCTATATATTTTATAAGGCAAGTAAAGCAAAAATGGTGCTTTAGTAGTCTCCTATTTTATTATCTCTGCAATATGAATGTTATAGGAAGATATATTTAGACTTAAGCTAAAACAAAAGTATGCTGCCACATCCATTTACAGTACATGTATTGAGTATGCACAGAATAGTTGAAATGCAATACATAGTAAAAAAAAGTAATGAAATCATGAATATTTAGTATTTATCAAAATTTAAAATATAATTTTTCTGTATTATTTTAGAATGATCTACACAGAGCCATTCAGCGTACACAGTCTGCAATGTTTAATCAAGTTTTGATTTTAATATCTACATTACTATGCCTTATCTTCACATGGTAAGATTGTACATAGTATTTTCATTATGTTTCATTTAATTATAGTTTCTAAAAAAATCATAAACCATTTTAATTGTGTTGATTAAAATAAATAAAAGATATTCAATATTTATGTAAAGGATCACATAAAGAACAAAAAGTAAAATTCTTCTTCAGTATTACAGAAAAAACAAGAGAGCCCATTTGGTATTGGTGTTTGCCATTTCTCTAAATGCTATAAACAATCACATCATAGGAATTTGTACTGCACGCCATAGTTGCCAAACAAAAATATTACCTTCAAACCCCTGACATAGAGATGCTGTGTCTTTCTGCAGTCTTCAAAGTAGAAATGCTACTTGAGAAAACTCTGCCTGTGCCTTCTCTCTGTGATGTGTCAGTGTGCAGTCAGGCAGAAAGCAAGGGCAGATCTGACAGTGCAAGGCAAGATCTGGCACTTTGCTTTGCTATAAAAAACAGATATTCCTCTTTTGGAAAGTCCCACTTTTGATGATTATAAAGTAATCCAATGTGAAATGGTGCACTTTCACATATGGATTCATGCAGATACTTAACTAGAGAAAAAATGTGAAAATCACAAAATAAGGTACAGTAGTATATCTGTTTGGCAGGAGTCTTAGATATTAGTGTAATTGTGCTCTGACCTTGATTTGACCTACTGAGAAAGAGATAAAGCTAATTAGGAAGTAGTATAATAGGAGGAAAGCAATCAAACCACAGTATAACTTAATTAGATATAAATATAGCTATAGATACGTGTATGTAAACATAGATTTAAACATATAGGCATGGCAACTACTTTCATCAGTAGTATGCAGTTATTGTCTCTATAAACGGATTTAAAATGTTTTATTGTGTACTCATATTTAAAAAATAAACATTTTAGGATATTTAATCCCTCTAGATATAAAATATCCCTCTAAAATGGACACAGTGCCATGTTATCATTTAATTTTTTTTGCTCTTCATGAATTGGTTTTATTATTCATCTAGTTAATATCAAACTTCATAAATATGAAAATACTAACAATAATGACTTCTGAAGTCACTAAAAATTCTTAATTTTAAGATAATGACATTATTTAATTTAAAAGTTTTCTCATTTTACTCCAGGAAAAGTACTTAAAATTAAAATTTTTATATACCTATGTCCATCCTAATATTTTGGTTGTTGGAAAATTACAAAATATAAAATGGAAAAATATTATTGGGAGTCTAGTAAAGAGAATTTAGTAAAGAAGTAATTGAATATTAATGGTAAAATAAGGACCAATTATTTTTACACGATTACAGTTCAGTATTTTTGTTCTGGAGGTCTCTTCAATCACACTAAATAATCTATAGTGAGCGATTTGCTCTTAGTTTCTCACTATATGGCTATTTCTTGAGTAGTTTTTATTCGGAAAGAAGCAACTAGACAAATTTTGCCACTTTCTTATTCCAACGGATGCAATAGTGCTAGATTTAGGGTTTTCATGATCTATATGAAATATCCATTATGCAATTTATTCATCATTTAAGTCACTTGTGTTTCACTGTTTTCAATTACAGTTGCTTTTGTTGTCATGAATCTGTGTGTTTCAATCTTGGACAGCTGGACAGTAGTTTTGAAGATACTATGCTGTGGTTGTCATGAATATATGGATATGAATCTGTTCTTTAAAGTGCAATTATTATATACAGTTATGCTTTGCTACCTGAAAGGTTACTGTTTTTAATCACATGTACATTAGTAAATTTACATTAATGTTTTAAAATTACATCTAGAATGGAGAAACTGAAGGTAGATTTCTTTGTTATTTTTCCCTAGCAGTAGAAGCAAAATGTCTTCATGAATCATGATCAGCATAGCAAGGTAGAAAAAAATCTTATTTGAAATCATCATAGAAAGTGTAATTATCTACAAGAAAAATGTAAAACAGTGTTGCATTAGCTATATCATACAGACTGTTTTAACAATTACAGCACATGCACTATAAAATAGGAATATACACAAAGATAGAGCAACTTAAATAGTCTGTCCAAGAATGTTACATTAGCTTCATACTGTTGGAGACAAGTTTCTTTATGTCTTGTTTTCTGCCTTTCTCAAGACATGGTTTCAGCTCATGGTTCAAGATGGCTGCTCTAGTCTTACCATTACATCCTAACACCAGCCTGTAGGAAGGAAGAACATAAGGCACAACCGAGAAACTGCAAGCATAATTTAGGCTAGAATTTGGTCACACCTCCACAGATAGCTGAAAGGGGACCTACAAGTATGTAGTCTAACAATATACCTAGCTGAATATTATATTATCATAGAAGAGAAAAATGATGCTGTGGCACAATAAACAATCTCTGGCACTGGTAAGTCAGTCATAAAAGTCCTTATGTATCATTTGTTTAAACTTCAGGGCAATACTAGTTTGTAGCCTTTGGGCAATTTACTTAATTTACCTAACTTTATTTTCTACATCATTAAATGAGGATAATATTAATCACCATATAAGATTTTGTTGTATTAATAAGGGTTAAATTAGATATGTTTACAAAATGTCCAGCACTCCAAAGATTTAATTTCTTCCACTTCAAATGTCCTCTTTATATGATTAAATGATCATGTGAATACACAGAAATAATATACTTTGAAATATCTAAGCATAACAGCAATAATAATACTATAAAACTGAACTAGGATGCCAAAAAATGTATCTAACAGGAAATGTGAGAAAGCGTCTTTGTCCACTGAATCTATTCAGGTGTTCTGTAACTTCCTACATATTCTAATATTTGTTTCCTCCAATTAGCCTCACTAATGGTAGGATCTTCCTCCTTCTGGGTGCATTTAATACTTAAAATATATATATAATATCATAGAGCAAGACTATCAATGCCTTTCAAAATCAGAACTTCTAAAATATACATTAAAATTTAAGTCCCCAAAGATTTAGGAACTAATAGTTGATGAATTGGCTGTGTTGTTTGTGACTCTCACAATCTTAAAATTACCTGCTTTGGAAAGTGATCTATATTGTTAAAATGTATCTTCTCTTCATCAGTACTAACATTACAAAGAACTGTCATTAAGCATCTGTCTACAAGAGACACATGCTCAGCTACCAACTAAAAAAGTAACCTGCTGACCCACTCTCTGTTGGGAATGTGCTCAGAATTGCTTTTCCTGTCATTGTAATGGATTGGACAAATTATCCGCACTTCGGCTGTGTATCATTCTTGATAAATAATACACATTTCCAAGACAGCTGGGAATTGTGATTCAGCCTGTGTCTGCATAACAAAGCAGAGGAAACTGGTACATCCGGAATTAAGTGCCTGACTTTAGCTTAACTATTAACATATTTCAACAAATGATAAGTAGTCTAATTTATAATGCATTTGGTGTTTCTAATTTTACACTAGATTTATTTTGTACTTTATTTAAAACTTTAATATTTATTTGAATATTTATATTTACATATTTTCACATTATTTCATTGTGTTAGGGTGTGAAGAACTGTGTTAAACACATATTTCATGTTTTAGCCCAATAAAGAAAAGCCAGTTCACCCTCAGTCTTATCTCAGGAGACATCAAATCCATTCATAAGTTAAAAATGTGATCTATTTAAAAATTAACATGCTTAATTAAAAAAAAAGTATGGGAATTTCTTGTGTATCATTGATTAACACTTATTTGAGTGCTGGATACTGGACACTGAAATTTTTAGGCAACTAGCTGCTTGGGAAGTGGACGGTGAGAAGATCACTGTTGTGGTGTGGAGAAAGTACTAGAACATGGTCTAGTGGTGTTATCACCATCATGGTATTTGATTACTAGTTTTGTTTGGTCACATTTGTTTCAGTACATTATAAATGAATGACTGGAATTATGTTTGAAGATCTAGCAACAGTTCCCAGGTTTGTATTACACTGGAACATAGAGAAAATTATTTGTCCCAACTACATTTTGCATAAGTGGGGAATCAGGCTTTAGTAAGTCACTTAGCCACCTAAGGTAAATTCAAGTTGGGAAAAGGGAAATACGGTTATTTAATATATATAAATATTGATAATATAATTATTATTAATGTAAGATCTAGGAAACATGGTTTTAAATCAAAAGTCTGTATTAAACAAAATATTTCTGAAATATGGCAACAATGTATATTAAGTTTCAAACATGCAAATACTGAGAGTAATGGCTAATAATTGTTTCCACATGCTTAATCATTGTAATAGTATTTGTATGTTCTAGAAGTTACTTAGATATGTAAAAATAAACAAAAAATCAAATAGAATTATGATAATTTGTTCTCATTGTTATTGTGAATTTTTAAATTACTGTTGGAAATATAATTATATAATAGGATATTTGAAAGGAAAGGAGCGACACAGCAGCAATTCACTGGAGAATTCCGCTTTATTAGGGAAAGGTGCTCGGTTATATAGAAAGGGGCATGAATTGATTGAGGTGTCACTTCTACGGGGCTAGTGGCTGTTGGCTAGGTGTTGGGATTAGGAGGGGGGAGAGAGGTGATTGGGCTTCAGGTGGTGCCAGCGGGAACCGAGGACCCCGAAGAGAAGCCGGAAGTTTGCCATCTTACTGGTGGGGGCCCTTCATTCCCCCCTTTCTCCTCTATGGGGTTGTGGATGTTGCTTTCTCTCTGACTGCTTCCTGCTGAACGGGGGTGGAGAAGGGAGTGAGGGCTTGAGGACCGGGAGGAAAGGGTTGATAGGACTCCCCACAGTAAGGATGAGTAGATGTGGACTTCTTCAGGTT